CGAATTAGACAAATATTTAAGCACATTTCACAGCTGCAAATACCTCCACAAATTTACACGTCAAGAGTTTTCTCAAAGGATACGGAAAAGATCAAAAGCTCCCGCCACATATATGATGGTGTCTCCAGGCTGCGGCTCCTTCCCTGAGGCAAACTGGATGATCTTCTGGGATGTTTGCAGGAACTGAGACACCCCCGTCCACGGACTGTGGACTGTCACACCCTGAAAAGGCAACGGCAGAACTTAGCGATAGCCGAACAAAAGCTGTATGTAAATTCACGTCTGTCAAGACAGAAACCATTTATTTACCTTTCCAAAGTTGTCGGTGTGCTGCTGGTAATCTGTATTTTCCTGGAGGGAAAAGCATGTCAGCTCGCAGTCAAGATAAGCAACAACGGGCGACACGCTGAACACAGGAGTGTGAACCTACCATGTTGCTGTGGTGGGCTTTGGTCATTAGCAGCATTCGTCCCACCAAGTCAGTGGTGGAGACGCCCTGAGTGCGTTTACACTCTCTGTAGCGCCCGGCACGCTTCACCTCTGCGTACGTGTCCTTACCGTCAACTGTTAGTGTGATGTCATCTGACAGACAGAAAGCAGAAGCTCAAACTTTGAAGGAGCTTCCACCAAATCATTTGGAGTACTTTACAAAAGTATGTACTTTTTTATTTTATTTTGTCATCCACTAACCTTAATGCATTTTATTGGGATACTATGTGTGATGAGGTTGTGTGTAACTGTGAAGTACCGGGAAAACCCCCCGCAATTATCCAAATTTTCACTTTTCAGAAAAAATCTGAAAAGTGTGGGGTGCACTTGTGTTTTGGTCTCATCTGATAGAATCACCTTCACCTACATGTCTGTTTGCAGAGTTCACTTCACAGCCTGACTTGTGGAGAGCTGGAAGCTGGACCCATTCTTTCATAAAGGCCAGATTTGTTGAGCACATCACTGGGAGTGTGAAGTGAAGACGTCTGTGAATACCTCAAACGTTTGCCGGATAGAAAAGTACGGCGAGAAAAAACCCCTACATAGAATGTGAGCCTGAATAGTCCTGTCACAACACAATTCAAAACCTGTGATTTCCGTATTTAAGGCCAACTTACATTTGCTTTAAGACATTAAAAAGCCTTTCTTTTAGATAAATTACCTTAAGACTTTTTAAATAGAGACGTTCACACTAAGTGTTGTTTTGTGTTGATTTGTCACATGAAATCCAAGTGGAGTGTATTGTCAAAATGTGACATAATGTGTGTTGAAACAAAAGCTGCCTCACCTCCATGCACACAGAAGTCACAGTTGTATTTGTCCAAAGTCTCCAGAGTAGTGACATAAGGAGCTCCCTCTACGATCTCATCCACCCACTTGATGGCGCGGACCATCTTGTAGCGTTCTTCCTGCGTGAAAACTGGAGGACCTTTGTGTTTGGAAATCTCCGCTTTGAAAAGAAATTCTTGGAGTCAGATGCTAATCACTGGCATTTCTGCGTCCTACACGCGTTCCCTAAACATTAACCGCAGCTTTACGTGAAACGTAACGATGTGTCTTGATTAATAAAGACATTTAAATGTGAAGGAGGAAATTCATCTCATACACATTTGTCTTACCATCTGTGTGGACCCCGACTATGAGATAATCTCCCATCGATTTAGCCTGGCGCAGCTGGTTGGAGTGACCATAGTGCACCATGTCATAGCTGTGGAAACAAGACACCAGGAGTTTTAGAAACAATAGCTTGAAGAGGACACTGCTCCAGGTCCAAAGAGATAAAACAACCACGACCCAGAGGGAGGCTGCAGCAACAGCACCCCTGCTGTCAGGCTTTCTTCTTTTGAAAGCAACTATTATCTTTTAAATGACCTCCAAGTAGGGCCAACTAAACACTATTGAATATTCACTATTGGGCTCCATGTTTGTCTGGTGTTGGTGGTTTATAGTGACAAAGGTTACTGGGACTAAGGTAATGGCCACAGGCGTCCTGTCGGCCACCAATGACCGATGTTTATTTGACTTCAGTCACTTAGTGACTAAGGCAATCGATGCTTTGCTATGCTAAACCAGAGACTTGACTCAAATAGAAAAACTAAATATGAGGAGAAGTGACTGCTTTTATCAATACAATTAATAAGTGACTAATTTGGACACTTTTGATTACACTTTTCGTTACAAAGCTGTAAACTATTTTACAGCTTTGTAAGATTTCCTTACTGAAGTAAAAGTGCATTAAGGCCGGAAACATCCAGATGTTTTGATCCAGTTGACCAATCCGATCGTTTTTGTTGTGGATCATGATCAGCGGTGTTGTGGATAAAATGATTCTGTGTCCTTCTTGCGTCTCCTATCTGCTCACACGCACACTGCCGCTGCTTACATAACCATAACACATGGGACTGGTGACAGTCACACATGTACAAAATGAAACTGATGACCAATACCCTTCAGGGAGGGTCCAGAATGAGGAGACAATAAAAGCAGGACATGCTCTACAACTTCTGCCTCACATGGTTTCACCCCTAAGGTTAGCTAAGTGTGGCTCAAAGCTGCGACGACAATGAATGCCACTCTGTATCTGCTCCATTTGGATGACTTTGTAACATTTGATTGATTTTAGCCTGTTTTAAACTTTACAAAACTCATTATTTCAGGGTAAAACTCAGAGGAGTTTTGTGGTGAAACGAGCTTGGTTGTTGCACAGAGAGGGCTAAAAAAGTGCACTACAACAGTGGTCGTACTCTGCTATGTAAGAGTTGACTGGATCACACAGCAGTCATAACCAAAATAAATGACAAAAGATAAAATAAAGTATTGTCTGAAGTTAATAATTAAGCATGTGAATATGTTTGCATTTGGGAATGGGTTTGAGTTTAGTCAGAGGCTTCTTCAGATCCACTGTAATACTGACTGCTGCAAGAAATCCTTCCTGCCCATCACCATCTCTGACAACTTTGACTAACCTTGAATAATATGAAATACAACAACACTGCATTTCTACACTGGAATAGCAATACACCAGTAATCCAATACCACTACATTTTAGAAATGCCCAGGAAACCCCAAACTGTCCCGACAAAAAAAAATATTTATTGAAAATAAAACAAACCAGTTCAAAGTAAAAAAGGTTCAGTTCTGAAGCAGAAGCTGTCAGAAGGTGTATTTGATTATATTACTCATCAAAGTGTAATGCTTGTTTCTCGTTATGTATAATGTTCAATGTGCAATGTTTTTTATGACCGTTCTTTGTGTTCAAAGTACTTTATGATATGAAAATACCTTGTTGCTGAAATGTGCTAAACTTGATTCATAACTTCCTTGTTCCGTGCACAGGACCAAAACAGATACATGATTCTGCAACATGAGTCAGTCGTCTGAGCAGCAGCAGCAGCCAAATCATGCAGAACTCCTAATCTAACACCACCAACAACTTCCATCTGACAGCTTATAAATGCACTTAAATATGTGAGTTTAAGTATTTATTGATCCCAGTAAAATGTGAGAGAGAAAAAATATATAATATTGTTTCTCCTGGAGCCACTGATGGCAGGATAATTATAATATAACTACATGTTAAGTTGCACTACTTTATGGAGCAGCTCTCAAACACCTGTTTGCCTACAGTTTACCTTGAACAAACACTCATTACGATGTGAATTAAAGGAGCAGGAGGATTATGAGGTTATTTCTAACCCCAGGCGTTTTGGAGAGAGCCACTGCATTAACAGTAGTTAATTTAATTTTGATACTTAATTTAATGAAATTATATTTAATTTAGATAGTTACATATTTAAAGTCTTCTCAGGACCAAATGATAATTCATATGCAAAATAAATAGAAAAGATATCACAATAAGCTTTCCTATTTCTTTTGCCTCCTGTCATTAACTGCTAAGTAGCATGCTAACAGTAGCATGCTAGTCAACCGACTTGTTTCTTGCTGGTGTTTCCCACAAGGACAGCTGTAAACCAGACAAGCTTACAAATACCAGTAATACCAGTATAAGCAGTCAGTCCGACTCACCACCCATCGCACCACAACCGGACCACCCTCTTCCTTTTCTCCGGGCTACACGCGGAGGGACCCGGCTTACTGCCACCGGCTCCTCCGCTCCCGTCCTGGGTCGCGTGGTGTCCGTTTTTGATCATTTCTACGAGTTTACGGAGATACGTTTAATGTTTTAGAGCTGCTTTGTGTTTCTTCTTAAAAAGTTACTACAATCTGCGCTGAAAGAATTGAGCAACAAAAGTCTTCAACAGATCAACTCCTCTCCTGGTGATCGGACTGAATGTCACTGAACAGCGGCCAACGCCTCCGATTGCGTCACGACGATCGAATGGTCTCGCGATGACGTATGGTTGCATAAGAGATTTAAAGAAACAGAACCCGAATTTAAACCAATAACATTTGACTTCGGTTTGGAGATAAACTGACGCATTTGAACTTTTATTTTAAATGTTAAAACCGAAGTTGTAATTTCACGCAAATGACCAAATCAAAGTTATAATTTGTGCTTAACCTAAACTCTTTTTTTAAAACCAGGTCTGTAAAATTAAAACCACGGAAGCCAATGTATACCGCTCTAATAAAAATGTGTAATTTTGGTAGTAATTCTGCTCCAAAATATAATTTCTTTTATTAACAGAGGCAGAATTGAATTGAGTCCATACAAAATATTACGCTGCTTTTCTTCCTTCTCCTCAATATAATGGCAACTAATCATATAAAAAATGAAAATGCTGTGCATGCATATGGCGCAATCAAGAAACATTTTTTAATTAAAAATTGTTTTGAAATTCTTCCAAATAAATGTGCACATAGTACAATACATCTTCAAATCCCTAAATGAAAAAAAAAAACTTATAACCTTTAAAAGAAACATTGGGTATGCACTTTTCATATTTGTACAATCCTATTATCATGTACTGATACCCAAAAGAATAATCGCTTCATGTAATGTAAGGCAGGTTTATATTTGGGGAGAAAAAACCCACAGAAGGAACTCAAAATAAACAACAAAAGTTTTTAATATTCTGTTTTTTGTTTAGCATCTGAATATCATCTTCAAAAATAAAAAAAAATATGTTTAATACCAGTTGGAAGTAATAAACCATCAACAAACCAACATACAATTCTAATACACAGTTCTCAAGCTGCTTATCTTCCACACATTCCAGCAAGATACTGCTCTCGTAAATAAACCCGTTTAGCATTAAAATGTCAAGAAAACAAGTAAAACAAAAAGTTTTACAAACATTAGCACCTCTGGTGTTCTTAAATGAGTTAAAGCATTAAATGGTAAACATTGCTAGTTTTTTTTCTTCTGTCTAATAAACAAATGCTTTACAAAATGCACCAAGGAAAAGCAGAGTCGTCTTCACATTCAGGTTTAATACTGTTTTCAGTTTTAGGAACCGACAACCCAAGCTCCTCATAGCTGTTCCCTGTTTTTGATTTAATGAATTACACGATGATCTCAATGTCATATGACCTTCTTGAGAGAAAAATAATCAATGTAATTGTTACTAACCAAAGAAAACATTAAGTTATCACAGAAGCAATCAACATACAAGTAAAATATGAAACACTTCTTTTCTTACACCTCTGTAAACAAATAAAGATAACTGTAAAATAACTCATATACAATTATAATGGTAGAACGACTACCAAGTTCAAGAAATAGCATACGTAAACTACAACCCCTTCAAAATAAACATAAATGTACAGCAATGTAAAAAATAAAACGTATACAAATTTAACATGCAACTTTTGAAAAATGGAGTAAAAATATATCTTTTGCATGTAGAAAAGTTAACAGTACAAAACTCAAAAAATTTTTGCTGCTTTGTTTCTTCTGATACGTTTCGTTGACAAACAAAGGTCTAAGTTTTTCCAAACAAACACTAAAGGAATTGACACTTGATGTGGCAGCACCAGAAGAACAATAATATTTTTTATCTAGTCAATCTCCTACCAACAGGCAACATTGTTAAATCAAATCTGTTCCACAAAAAGCCAACATGGTGCTGTGCATGCATATGGCGCAATCAGATGAGCAAAAAGTGCGGGAGTGTTTTCATCACCTGAAAGCTTCCTTCCTCAGGATCTTTCTAAGACTTTTTAACTGACAGTTTTGTTTATAATAATTTCAATTGCTCAGTAATCCCACAGCAACTGAAGTGGGTTAAAATTGTAGCTTTTATTAACCCCGATCTGCCACCTGCTGTAAAAAAGGTAGCATAAAAAAAAAAGAAAAAAGAAAAACTGCTACATGACGGGAGCTACTTTTAATTCCTGCTGCTGCTACAGAATGAATGTAGAACAAAATAACAGTGCAAAGAGCTTTCTGTAAATTTCATTAGTCTTACACATGCTGCATGTGTATATTTATAATTTCAATTCAGCATCTTAAAGCTGGAGTCTGCGCTCATCAATAAGATAAGGAACATAAATCACTGGTAGCACCTGAATGCACTTCATTATCTCCAAGACCTTCCCTCATTTACGCTGCTTTTTTCTTTTTTCTCCTCCTGCCTTTGTTGTAGCCTCGACCGAACCAGCCGCCCTGCAGCGATGAGGTCTCCTCCGACGGCGGCTGGTTCTCGGCAGAGGGGGTTTCCTCACCGTCGGGGGAAGCTAAGACCTCACGGTTATGGCTTTGGTCTTCTTCTGGGCGAAGAGGCGTGGCTAGTTTGAAAATAGGGTCCTCTGCTCTGAGGAGAAAAATCACAAAGAAATAAAAAACATATATAATAAGCCACTTTGTGTTTTGGTTTACATTTTTGCATGCTTTCATAAATGTATTGTGTCTTGCAAAATGATTCAACTATCCAATTGCAAACTTAAGTAAACAAAGTCGCTCCTGACAGCAAGTCGCAGGACCAACCAAACGATGAAAAAAAGTCCGGCTTGCAGTCAAATAAAAACGATACATGCAGTAGTGCAGCCAACTGCCTCAGACAACATCAAATTAGTTAAAAGAGTCCATTTGTGTAAATATTAATCTCCATATCAATCCAGTTGTCCTGTGAAGACAACTGCAAAGGTTTAGATCACATAATATATGTGTATTAGAAAATGGCTCAGTCAAAGTCCAGACTTGAATCCAGTTGATAATCTGTCACAAATCAAAAATTATGTTCTCGATCCCATCTGATTGAAATTGAGCTGTTTTGCAAAGTAAAAATTTAAAGTCGATGTTGCAACATTCATTCACAGACAGCAAAAGGCTTTGTGAGGACTGGCCAAGGGGGTTTGAATACAAATTCAGTCCACACTTTTCAGATAAAAAAAAGAAGAAAGATAAACATGTAAACTGACGCTACGAGTGTTTAACACAGACGAGTTATTGTAATTTATATCAGCGTGTGATTTATTTTAGCACTGTTCACCATTTCTGGCGTCTCCAACAGAAACGTCCAGTTCTGTCCTTATCAGAAGAAGTTAAATGGAGCATCGTTTTCAATTCTGTTGTTTTATCCAATCCATACCTGTCGTATTCGGGAATCTGGATGTTCAGCTCTTCCATGAGGAGCCTCATGACATCGTCACACTTGCCGTGAATTTTCAGCAAGGCCAGATCATCTTTTGGAGTCCACTAAAAACAGAAAGAGAAAGTCTGGCGCAGAACATCAAGGCATTTAAAAAGCAACCAACCAATTGAATGTACCTGGAGATTCACAATGTAGAGTTTGGGCCTTTTGTTTGCAGGCCTATTCATGGACCACAAACAAGCATATTTCTTTAGCACCTGTGTTGAAAGGAAAAAAAAACAAAAGTAAAAACTCATTTATTTATGTTAGATGTGTTTGTTTAGGTAGCAAAGAGCTAGACTTTCTGTAACAACAATAAATGTTACTGGTTGATAAGCCGTCTCAGAAATGATTGTGATTTAAGATCATTTCCAAGCAATATACTGATGATAATAATGCAAGCTAGCCCTCTCAAAGAAAAAAAACTTTCATTTTGTACAGAACACACCACAATGGAACTGGAAGACATTTTGAATATCTAAACTAAAACACAATAACCAATAAAGAGGAAATACAAAACCTGCCTTCAGACTGGAGCCCAAGCAGAGTATGACGTCGGCCTCGTTGGCAGCCTCCGCCGCTCCCTTCCAGTTCAGAGGTTGTTCCAGGGTTCCACGCTCCCCAAAGTGCACTATGGTGTCTCTCAGCTCACTGCCACAGTGGCTGCAGCGGCGCCCTGTCCCGTGGCGGTGCAGCGACGTACGCTCCGTTACGTCAAATAAGCGCACAAACTCCCTGGCAGGAGAACAGGAAGTGCACACCTGGAAACAGAGACAACTCTGTTTACTTTGGGAGAAACTTCAGCAAGACAGTTTATAAAACAAGTCATTCATTTTGTCTGGCACAAAAACTCTACTTACAACCTGTAATCTGTGAAATAATTGTAACAGTAATGGGAACAGCCTCCCTAAATCCTATCTGGTTATTAAATATGAAAGCCACATCTCACTTCCACATTCCCACATTTCAGTTCAATTAAAATTTTGGGGATTTTCACACAATACGGGTTATTGATACAAGTAAAAATATTCATCTTGAAATGCTTAAATAGTACATTTATCTGTAGATACAGAAAAACCTTTAACAAATATTTATGGACTTATGTTATTTTGTTGTCATTATTTTGTAAAAATCAACTTTGACATTCAGGGTTTTCTTTTATATGTTTTGTTCATGTTTGATTTGGAAAAGAAGCAAAACGTCCAAGGTGTGATTACTTTTATGGGCTGGCATATGGCTGGTTGATGGCTATAAAAAAAAACAAAGGTCATTCATATTTAGTCAGGGCAAATGTAAAATTCAAAGTTGTGCACCAAATTTATGTTTTTAAAAATCATCTATGGCATATGTTGTGTGATTATTCCAACACACAACATACGCCAAAACACAACGGGTCAAACTCATTCCAAAAACAGGTTCATGTAAATCTCTGACCAGAGCTACAGGTCAGTTTGAGAGGCCGTAACAAACATCACAAAACCTAAATCAAAATCAGAACATAGATAAAAGCATCCATGAAGTTGGATCCCTGCTGTAATCAAACACAAACAAATAGTGAAGTTAAAACTCCAGCAGCATGTAAAAGAAGACATTCTAAAATGTTCACTGCTTTTGCAGTGGAACAAAATCTGAACTGTCTGACAACAACATCCTGACTTACTGGAAAGTGGAAATAATTTAGTGTTAAGTGATAAAAATCAGTGAGCGACAAAAGCGAAGCCATGGTAGAGGAGTGTTACCTCGATGAACATGTTGCCGTGGAGCTCAGACAGAGCTTCTCTAGGCAGACCGCTTCGCAGGTGAAGTCCATCACAGTTCTGAGAAACAACATGTTTCACCTAAATTGGGGGGGAAAGAAGACATTTGGATGTTCCCGCAAAAAAGGAACAATCATCACCACCCGTTTGGGTTTTAACATACAAGCTTCTCTTTGTGCAGCATCCTGATACACATGTGTGTGACGGTTGGCACAGCTTTGCTCAAGTCTGAAGAGCTAGAAAAGAAAACAGAAATGAGAGCAAAAATCAGTTCAAAAATATTTCTGAAACTTGCTTTCAATTTCCATCAGTAGCTATAACTCACCTTATGGTGCGGCCCTTCTGCAGCTGCGTCCACACCCCGTTAGGTCCTCTGTAGTCTGGGATGGAGGCTGCCTAAAATTAAAGTCATCATCACTTCTGGGAAACCACAGAAACACAGAGGAAGAAAGGTCCGGCGTACCGTGCTGATTCCTGCTCCAGTGTAAACCACAAGGCGATTGGCTTGCTTGACAGCCGCAGCCAGCTGCTTGACTTTACTCTTCAATTCATCAGCATCGTCAAACACCTGCAAACAGCGCATGAGGATAAATATGCTAGACGTATTAGAAAATCAGGCACCAAAGAGAACACATATGCTCATTTATGACTTTTATTACACATCATAATCTCAGCTAATGGGAGCAATTTGATGGAAGGGCCCCAATATGGAACCCTGAGGTACCCCTTATGATTTTGAGTCTGTTCTGGTTGTAAAAAAAAAAAAAAAAAAAAAAAAAAAAAAAACAGGGACCAGTGGCCATACATTTAGTTATACCTGCCTGGCCAGTGTAGATGTTGTCCTAGTAACAAAAATGACTGGCCTGCAAGAGTATTTGAACTTGTAATTTTCCCATTTGGTAGTCCGCTGCTGAGCTCATTCATTAATCAACTGGTCTCACCTCCTCCTGCTTCCTCTTCAGGACATTTCTTCGGATCTGCCTCCTGCAGAGCTCATCCACGGCCTCTCTGTGCAGCAGCAGCGCTGCGGCCTCTTCCTCCGACCGTTCAGCCTCAGGCTTCTTCAGAACCCGTCCGACCTGCGGAACAACCGAGAACCCTCTCAGAACTACCTCCTTGGAAACCACAAATTTAAAGCCCCGACTGCTATGTTAGCCTGCTAATGCGGTACACCACTATCTAATTACTCTTTTCAAATGTCGTCTTACCAGTCGGAAGATTTTTCTCTCTCTTTCACGTTGTAGTATTTTGGCTTTTTCCAACGCTTTTCTCTCCGTCCGTGATGAATTCCCGGTCTCCGGATCCTCCTCCATTCCGACACCTGCTAGCTGGAAACAAGCTAATCGATTCAAAACAAAGCGACTGACAGCGGAGGCGGACGTCAGGCAAGTAGATCAACGCGAAGAGGCGACCGACAGCGACCCCTGCTGCTCGGAGTGTGAAACTGCCAATAGATTCAGAAAGTTTACAAAACTCGATGGCGCTTTACTGGCGTAACGAGAAATTTAGAATTATTATAGAAAAGACAAATCCTTCCAAATAAACCAGAAAAACTGAACTGTAAATGGACAGCATCCCATTCCCTACTTTTAACTTCTAACCTACTAAAATTACTTCCATATCAATATTGCCCTTTTGTCTGCCATCTCATACTTACCAGTATTCACCAAAATACGACAAACCTCATTCTTTGTGTTTTATACATTGTCTGCTGTATCTGAGAATATGTACTCTATCCTCTAAATTACTGTTGTGTCAACTTTGCAATGATGAACTTCTGAACCGATTATTCTTTTAAGTGACTTGTGGTACATCACTCACCTTTTTACCCACTGTAACAAATTTCTGGAATGCCACTCCCACCTTGTCATCTGAATCTTTTGATGCACCTCTGCAGATCTTGAATGGAATTATGAAAGCTATCAATATAATCCTGTATTCTCAGAAACATCACAACAGAAAAATAAAACAATAATTTTATTATCAAATATAAACAAATAAATACCAAGCATACTGAGCCTTTGTACACAAGAATTTAAAAAAAGCAAAAGTCTACACATATGGCAAATCTCTACTTATAAAACGGTGCAAACTGTAAGGCAATAAATGCTTCAAAGCATGAAAAACACCCATGTCTAAAATGCGACAGTGACATTTGGGTGTGTCTGAGAACAGAATAAGCAAAAGTCAAAAGAGCCAAACTGTGCCAATAATATGGAAGGCCAACAGTGCTAAAAATGAATTGAAAACAGACTATTTAAATGTGACACAAGTCATTCAAATGTGATTAAATGTCATTCTAGAAATAATGGGTCCCACATGAGCAGCACATCTGTTAGGGGAGATTAACACTGCTCCAGTCAAGCTGATTGGCTTGCCTTGCAGATTATATTTTTAGTTATCAAAGTTTGTTTAGAAAGAAAAAAAAAGAAGTAATGAAACAGTTTAAAATTATGGCACTGCAGCATTGGAAAGACAAAAAGTGAAATAATTATACACAAATCTGCATATTTGTGTAGAATTATTTAACGCTTCAAATATGAATATGTGTACAGACACATTTTAAAAATGTGATAATTTTGAACACTTTTGGCCCTCCATATTTCACCTGACTTTGTTGGAAGGCACATAAAACATCATTTTTATTTATTTATTTATTTTTATCACAGGTGGAATCACTGGCTCCAAAACTGAGTAAAAATGCATGTCAGGGGCCTGGATACCCCTAAAGATGTGTGGAGTCCAAGTGAGCCATGAATTAAGAGCCAAACCGCCGGTGGCGTTTGTTTTCAACTCTTGAGAATATTCTGTTCTGATGAGCCACGATTCCTCTACTGAAAACTCTGAGCAATGCAGGAAGCAGATTAGATAAATAATTAGTTTTTCCTGAAACAGCATCTCTATATCTCGTGGGGTCGGTCAGCTACAACATCCATTTAGATTTTACATCTAACAGATTTCTTATCTTGCATTTATTCAGTTGGCTGAGGGCGTTACGAGACGAGTTCTCACTGGGGCCAATTAGAAAAGTGTCATCGAGGTCTAGACGAGCAAACGCTTTTGGGAACCCTCTGAGGATTTGCTTTAAACTGTCCTCGTTTTGTCTCCTGTGGTTTCTCGACAGAGAATCCAGACTTTGGGCCGGTCCGCGCCGCAGCCCCCTTGTGACATTCTGCAGCCTTTTTCTGAATCCTGGAGGGAAGGAAAGATGATTTTTAGGAGCTGAAATTTTAAATTACTGATGCCACATAAAAATCTCTAGTGTTCAAGACAAAAATAATTCAAATTCAGTCCCAGAAACATGACTTTGAAAAATAAAACTTTTAATTTGGTTAAAATTATTCAGTGGGGACAAATTCCATCTGAGAAAATCACTGGTAGCACAAATGTTGCCTCTGCCAATATGACAGCACTTAGTGTTCTCTCATAGCATTTTACAAAGGTCAAACCTACATAAAGCAATGGCTCGAAGAACATTTCTGTGTTAATCTGGAGCATTACTCTGCTGCCAAACCTAATGATGACCCATTTTCAGTTCTGCGTAAGAATCTACCGGATTTTTATCTGAAGTTCTACAAAATTCTGATTAACCTTCAAAAGTAAAAATAGGTTTAAAAAACTTCTTGGTGGTACCAATAAATATGCCATCAGTGATTTCAGCTTAGAACAATTACTCTGGAGTTACTTTCTACTGAATAAATCTACTGTCGGATTATGGGACAGCAATACAAGAAGAATGTGTTTTATGGTTTTTAACACGTCTTTGACCTGGGTGTCAATAACTGTGGCTGGTAGTGTAATTATTTTAATGTCAGCTGAATTTAACTTATAGTGAACACGCTCGGGTACAACTGAGGGAAAACTCACATCCTTTCTCTCTTCCTCTCCAGTGATTTCTGCGTCGCAGCAGACAGAGAACTCTTCCCTCGGGTGCAACCGGCATGTCCGTTCTAAACAAGATTGAACACACCCACACACACCCACCCACACACACACGCACGCACACACACACACACACACACACACACACACAAACAGCTTAGTCAGCAGAGATAGGAGGGATCAAAGAGTAGAAATATATATGCAGAGGACTTGAGTAATTCAGTCTTCTAACCATAAAGGCGCTTTTAGTATAAAAGATAAAATATGTTTGGTTTTAATTTTTGGCCATTTCTACTTTGGTCTCCTTTGTCTAAAGGATACCTGTCTTGATCATTTAGGTCATGGTGCCATAATTGTTTAGAGAGAAATTGTTTTTTGTTGCAATCTGCACTAAAATGCAACACTTAAGTTTACTTTTAAATTTAGTTAGTGTTGACCTGCTTTTAGGTCTGAGAAGATGAGTGTATGTCTGTTTCTATTAGCATTACATGTGTTACTTCAGGAAGAATTTGCTGCACCCTGTAGTTTAGGTAAGAATATCTACAATGATTTTTACTGGTGAATATGTGTTTATTAATGAAGACCAGTCGTGATATCGTCTTGTTTTATCATTCTTAAAGGGGCGGTGTTTTGTTTTTTTCCAGCCACATAGCACCATTTTATAGCAGAACCAAGTGACTATGTTACCTTCAGTTGTTACAAAAATGCTGTAAATATCAAACATAAGTCAAAAGAAATTTGATTTCGCAATTTAGCGTCTTGAAATTGGGCCTGTGTCTCTTTAAGAAGCTGCTGTTCTTTCGGAAACTCTGCTTTCAGTACGTCATCAAAACAATAATTCTCCACTATGCCGTTAACAACCGTTTTCACTCAGCAGTTCATCATACTCCCGGTTCCACCCGGTGTTTGCTAATTGCTGCTGCCGCTAGTCTGAAGGAGCTGAGTGGAAGGAGGGCTGCTCTGTGAGGCAGAAGCTCAGCTGGAGGAGCTTTGTGAGATCAAGGATTTCTCAAACCTACATGAAAGAATCAAAGCAATCCATGTTTTTGATGAGGGAGTAACATTACAAGATGGTATAAAGCCAGAAAAAGTTGATTTTACATTACTCCACCCCTTTAAAGAGAAATCTGTACCGAGAGGTCAAAGGTTAATGGAAACCAGAGATCTAAAATTGAATACAACATTCTGATTGGTGCATCTGTAAATAAAACAACACATGACATTCCATGTGTTGTCTTTTTCATTGCAAGCCAAGTCCTGGTAAGAGTGATCAGATAAAAACATTCAGGCCAGAAATGAAACACCCATTTTTACTTTGACTTGACATAAATGAAAAAAAAATAAATAACTGAGCCATGATACAAGTACGCTCCATGTTACTTTATTACGGAACCAGATGGTCCCGAATCACCTGTTGTGCACCTGCATCTAATTCTACCACCCCAGGATTTACCGCACACTGCGGGGAGATTACCTGCCGTCTGAGCTGCCTCTCCCTGGCCAGCTCTCTGTCCCATCTGATTAGCTGCATCTGCTCTCCGGCTGACAGACTGAAGAATATGTCGTAAACCTCATAACGGGCGGCGCGCAGCTGGGGAGAAGAAACAATTAAAAAGCAGAAGATGGTTTTAATGATTAGCTCGTAACGGCGCGAGTTAACAGATGTCTGTACGGCATGTGTTTGTGTTCACACCTGCAGAGCGACTCTCTCCTGCAATAATACATCTTGCCTACTACAGCGATCCCCTCTGCTGGCGCTCTGCTGCTGGAAGGCCTGCAGGAACTGCTGCGTGTCCTACACACACACAATACACACACGCAAACAGCAACACAGATAGTATTGCAAAAATATTCATACAGCCTGAACTTTTCCATATTGTCTTGTTGGTGTTTTGTTTAGGTGTGTAATGTGATAAGAAAAGCGCATAACAGTTGATAATTGTGACACACTATTAAAAATGTGTACAAATGTTTTCAAAGCGAGGTCCGGGGGCCATTTCCGGCCTCTGGACTCCTTTTGTGTGGCCTCTCACCCACAATTAAAAGATAAATTAGAATGGTTAGAACAAAGTAAGAACAAAAAGACGACTTTAAATTAAAATCTTCTTACGAAAATGTTAGACGCAACACAGTGATCATTTTTCCAAAGCTTTCTGGTTGCCTGCTGCTATCATGGTAACTAGCAACACATCTACTCATTGACATATACTCTAAAATACACCTGGGTGTATTTTAAAAGCAGATCAAAATCTGATTTTAATTGCTGTATTAAACCTCAGCTAAATACTGAAAGTGTTTGCAAATGAGTACTGACCTAAATCTGTTTTTTTATTGCTAATAGACAAAATACTTTTTAAGTTTTCTTCAACTGAGCCAAAAATAAAAAGCAAACTGGACGCCTTTCATTTAACAGGGAAAATGTGTAAAAACCACTTGAATTTTTGGATTTATGACCGCACTCCTACAGTACTCTGATTACTTTACTTGTTTAATTAAAAGCGTCCATGGCGACGTCCCAGTCTGAAATTGACATCATAAATTGGTCCGATATCAGCCTAAAAAACAAGTATCGGATTATATATTGTCTGCATCTAAAAGAACACCGATAGAAGCATTTCTACCCAGCAGCGCTTGGATGCTGGGTAGAAAATAAATCATTCCTATATTGTTGTTTCTCTATCACTTGATCTAGCCTTTTTTTTAACAATCCACACAACAAAACAAGCAATAAAATTACGAGTCAAGCTGATATCATATTGTGTCAATATTGGCATCAGCCAGTAATCAAAGCTGTAATATCTACATCATAGCAGAAGTGAAAAAGTTGCACCACTAATAGTTCATCCTTGGTTTAATGTTGAGCAGGTATAAGTTTTTGAAAATTATATTCTTTCTGTCTGTGAGTGCTGTGAGCTGACGATTTTGACACAGGTGACAAAAAGCTTGGACACTCCTGGTCAATCATGAAAATTTAAGCCAGTACATTCA